CCTTAAGCAGCTAAAGAATTTCATGAAATGTCAATAGGGCAAAAAATAAGGGGGGGAAGGGGGTCCGGGGTGGGGGGACAGCCCTAGGCCTCGGAGCTCTCTTTCCCATGCAAATCTTCACACACACCCCAAGACCCAAAATGCGGGGCGGTGAAACACAATAATTAGTCCTTTGTCTAACTTTCCCAAGTGCCAGAGAAAGACGGGTTAATTAAATATACAACAGTGTTGGTTTTGGGAGTGGGGGTCCCCGCTTGCTGTGAAGGTCATAAATTAGGCGGAGTAAATGCCTCAATGTGTTTGCAGTGGGCCCTGCTACGTCAGAGCCACTGGAAGGTTGGTGGGAGGAGAGCCGAGGGTTTCTTGCTAATGACAGTCACGTCTGGGTCTGTCTGGTTGCCCCTAGCAACCAGACATGATGTAACACCGCGATGAACTTGAACTTGGGGGACTTGAAAAGAGAACAATAGACCAGAGCAATCAATAAAGCCTATTTCAGTGAAGGATTACAGAGCTGCTCTGGGGTAACCTTGTCTGCAAGGCACACACTGAATAGTAAGATGTGTGAAGAAACTTTTTTTTTTTTTGGCTTTTTAAGAGGCCAGCCTGAGCGCGGCAGAGCTAAGCAATGCAGCGGAGCCAGGCTGCTGCAGGCGTGGGGTGGGGAAGGGCGCCCCCTGCCGGCCGCTCTGTGCCCCCGAGGCGCCTGGGCAGCGTCCCAGCCGCACTCGCAGAGAGCTTGCAGGATGGGCGTCCTCCCGGGGGGCTCAGAAACGGGGAGAGCCGGGCTCTTAGACTGGGTTTGGCCCTGTCTAAAACGCAGCTCTTCTCCGTGATGAGTCAGCTGGAGAGGACCCGCATCTATCGAGAAGAAGGCCGCCTACAAGTTTCAAGCTCTTTTTTCCATTTTTTTAGCCCTTTTTATCCAGTCATATTGAGGCCACCTCTATTGGCCAGGCCGGTTTCCTTTCAGGACACAAAAAGACTTGATTGTGTTTCCCAAAGCACAGTCGGATAATAACCTTTGAAAGTGTACAGGATGAGTCTTTTAAAACTCCTCTGGACACCAAAGGTCGCTTGAGAAACCAGGAACTCTTAGCCACGTTAGGCTGGGAATCCAGCAAAGCCCTATTTTAACCAGTCGACCCCCTCGGATGAAGAGGGAGTCATCACCCCAGTGAACCAGTCAGACTGAGCCCTTCCGACTCCGGCCCTGAGCACGTTCCCCTCCCTTCTGCTGGAAGCTGTGGGAGTACTGGCTTTTGCTGGACCGGTCACGTTGTGCCTCTGACCAGGCTCCCTGGGGAGGTGTGGGGGACAGGCAGGCACGCTTCCAGAGAGGCAGCTGTGACAGTGAAAGGTGGCCTGTGTGTGGAGCCGAGAGGTCCGAGGGTGAGGCGTAACTCCCACTCATTTATCATCTCAGCATCCCAAGCAACTCTCTGAGACTCTAAGGTACACATTTCTTGAGTTGTCCATCTATATTGGTGAAGGGAATTTCCATATTGAGAACCCCCCTACATTGGGGAAACCACAAGTCTAGAGCAAAAACTCTGTGTATCTGTGTATACATATGTGTGTGTTATATTTCTATATGTGCGTGTACATTTGTGGTATTACATATATGCACATACATTTAGTTAATAATACTCAAATGGATATGTGATCATGTGTGTATAGATATTCCCTCTAAAAATGCAATATTTAACCCATCTATACTCACCCATCCTGTGTATAACTTTTGTCCTTGTCCTCCTGTAACTTCTCTCCTAGGGATCTACCCAAATTGCTAAGACTCTTCCTCGATTTTTCTCGACGTGGCAAGAATACCAGTGGAACACATAGCCTGGACAACAGTTATCCTTTATTCTGGATTAAAGAAGTGAATTATCACAGAGATAGACAGAGAGATTAAGAGAGAGAGAGAGACAGAGAGTTTTGCATCCAATATGTTATTAGAGCCTCTTGAACATCTGTGATGTGGCTATTGCAGGATGCAGCATTGTCGTTCCCATTTTACAAACCAGGAAACGGAGGTTCATAGTGGTCACCTGACTCACTCATGGTCACACAGTCAGGAAAGGGCCAAACCAGACTTGAGTTCCAGATTCCCCTGGGGAGCTCCATCCTTCATTCAGGTTCATTGCTCTGTTCATGATGCTATGCCAATGATGAAAGAGCCGTTCTGAAAGTTGACGTTGAAAGAATGTGTCAGATGGTTCATCTCAAAATATCCTGACCAAAATCAAAGGGTGATTCTTCTAGAATAAGAGGCTGGATTTTTTGTATTTACACACGGCCCAGGTGCCCAGTCGGTAGATATTAGCTGTACCCACCTTCTGTGGCAGAGTATGAAGTTGCTCACATTTGGGGGTTGGGGAGAAAAGGACGAGCCCACCCAAAAAGCTCACATCGGGTCCCCATACTTTAAATCTCGTCAGTTCCAGTCCACTTACTATGCACCAGGTTCTGTACTAGGTAGGGTGACTCAGAGACAAAGGAGGAACTGTGCCTTTCCTCAAAGAGCTTTCATTTTCTGCGGGGAAACAGATATTGAAAGGAAAAATTAACTAAAATAATTACAAAATCATTTTGGGGGAGGGAAGAGAAGACTGAAAACTGTAGAAAATAAGCTTTTTGAGGGCTGAGCAATTCATATGTGTGTATATATGTGTGTTTGCATACATATGTATACATATATGTATATATACATATTCACACATATATGTGCACACATCACTTTCAGCTATTTGAATACAGCTCTTTTCTGTGGTGTTATTACAGGCTAGCAAAATGGCTTATTAAAAAAAAAAACTTAGTTATGTTTCATTCCATCCCACATTGTAAGTGCATGGTGGTGCTTACCTGCATGAGAATTCTGCACTTAGCCTTGTCTCTGACCCTGCAGCTCTTTCTCCCTTACAATAGCATTCATTCTCCATAGCAGAGGCTCTGAAATGTTTCCTCGGCCTTGGGGCTGGAAGAACCACAGACAAAGGAGTGGAGAGATTCCGAAGGTGCTGCAAAGGAACATAAGTCCTCTCAAAGTGGGGGAGGGAAGAAAGGCCAGCTCAATGAGGACGACCAGGCTCAAAAGTTTAACCAAGCACATGTTATTTCCACCATCTACCCATCTCAATTAATTCTCTCCATGGTTCTTACATAGGATAGAAGTCTGGGCCCATCAGATTGTCATCAATAGGTCATTATTGACAAACATATACACTCTTAGTACTGTTAGGAATCCTAGAGGCTCTTAGACTAGTCCTCTCATTATTGTAAAGATGAGGAAACTGAAGGCCAGAGAGGGCAGTCAGCTTATCCCTGCTGTGGTGACTAGGGCACTGAACTAGGAGTTAGGAAGATCGAGATTGAAATTCTTATTCAAGCATATACTAGCTTGTAACCCTGGGTAAGTCACTTAGCCACTCTATGCCTCAGTTTTCTCATCTGTAAAATGAAAATGTTAGACTCAGTACCCTCAGCTACAAATCTATGATCCTATTATCAGTAAGACCTGGGTTCCAATTTTTCCACTTACTGTGTTACTTCAGGCAATCCCCTTAACCTCTCTGAGACTCAGTTTCCTCATCTGTAAAATGAAGGTGGTAATATCCACAGTGACCTACTGTCATATTGTCAGGAGACTTATCAAGTCATGTATTTACACATTTTGCCAGCTTTCGAGTATCTCTACCAATGTCCATTATTCTAATTTTTGTCCAAAGTAGTACAGTGAGTTAGTAGGCAGTCTAGGAGCAGAGACCAATTCTAACTCCATACTCTTGCTCTCACTGCCTTACGTGACCATTTATGAACACTGAGCATACTCTTTTTTTAATAATGACCCTCTGTGACTTCCTCCGTTCTAGTATTTTACAGGAATCAGTACTTAGCACAACGCCTGGCATACAGTAAGTGTTTATTAAATGCTCATGAGCTTGACTTAAGTGTCTGTGCCCAGAGACTCCTCGCGGCTCAAAACACGCCACCTAACATAAATGGTGAGCCTGGCTAGCCACTTACTACCAACTTTGGCCTTTTTCTTTGTCTTCTAAAGTGACAGGGTCTATGTGTTGCCCTCAGCATATCTGTGGTGACCCTTAGGATGCACATGGAGGAGGTACCCACATCCCCTAAGCCACATTTAATTTGCATTTCTGAAAGGCAGTGTGGCCTGGCCACCCCTTTCTGTCACTGTTTTGGTTTGGCCAGTAGGCGATCTACCATCTTCTTCTACTTAGGATATTTCCCCTCTCCACTGTCAGGACTTCAGAGTCAGAAGGGGTCTTAGAAGTCATCTAGTCCAGCCCCTGCTTGACAAAAATACTGCCAACAAATGGTTTGCCATACAACTTGGGAACTGTGGTTAATGGGGAACTCACTACTTCCTGAGTCAGTTAATTCATTAAGAAATTCTTTCTTATAGAATGTAAGCTCCTTGAGGGCAGGGACCCTTTAGTTTTTGTCTTGGTTCACCATGAACATAGTGGGTGCTTAATAAATGTGTGTGGAATTGATTTATACCAACTAAATATTTTAATTATATTATATATATATATATATATATATATTTAATATATAATATTAAAAATTTATACTAAACTCTGCTGTTGTCTTCTACTGATCGGTTCTAGTTCTGCCCACTAGATTTAAACACAATAAGTCTCCGTGTGACTTCTTCCAGCTCACCATCAGCCATGTCTCTTATGACATTGTTTCCAAAGGCCTCACCATCCTGGTGACCAGAGATATAGCCTACAATAGTGGAAAAATTTTGGAATCAGAGGGTTTGAATCCCTGGTCTTCTACTTCCTTGTGACCCAAGTGACTTTGCAAAAGCCACTGCCCTGCTGGGCCTCAGTTTCCTCCTCTGTAAGTCCCAGCTGGCCTCCAAGATCCCCCTTGGTTCCAACTTCCTGAGGCCCTTGTCTTGAACCCAGCATGCGGGTGCCATTTTGTAACTCAGCTTTTTTTTTTTTCCTCCTTCTGTCTTCCAGTCCTGGTACCTGGGATAAAAGTCACAGCATCCCACCATCCACCAGACAGACCACCGGACCCCTTCTCAACTCTGTAAAGCGGAAGCAGCAGCAGCGCAGTGCAGTTTCTTCATTGTCCAGCGGAAGGGGAGACAAACAGATTCAGAAAAACCAGTACATGGAAAAATGGCGAGTGTTACGGTCCAACAGCCAAGGCCGTAACCTCTTTGGGATTAGAATTTTTTTTTTCAACCACCTTAGGGACTGTTGTAATTTTCTCACATGGTGCTTGAAATGATTTGGCTTTGTCGCATTGGAGTGTTTCGCTGGTAATGTAAGTTGTAGGTGACACTGGGGGGAGGGGGAGGCCGGTCTGTTGTCATGTGCTGCCTTCCCTGCTGTCCCCCACTTTCCATATGGAGCCCAGCTGTTTCACGGTCTTGACATCCATTGACCCATACAGATGCGTACGCCTTTCTGAGCACTCGCGAGGCCCGCCGCAACTAAAACTTTCGTAGTCGCTGAAATCTGCAATATGTAACTTACAGGACAGATGATAGGGCATGTTCTTCTGTAACATATCGGGGGAAAAAATGATGCAGTGGGTTCCCTTCGGGGGGGGGTTGATTTTTGTCCTACAGTCAGCAGTTTCAATGTGTAACATGACCCATAAAGGATGGCGAGTCCACTCACATTGCAGAGAGATCCAGAAATGACAAACTACTTAGTATAATAGTCGTCATGTTTCTTTTAAAGTTTGAAATGCTGCACTTACATTAGAACATTGTGGGGGTTTTTCCAACAATTTTCAACAATTACACAAATTCACGTGGAAATGGGGAAGATGGTCTGTTTTGACAGAAACTGACAGGAATCAATCAAAACAATCGAATTTTGAATTGAGTTAAGTGCAATTTCATTGGATAGCTAAATATCTTTGTAAGATAGAGATTGTTGAAAATTCTATTTTTGTTTTCCAAGTCCTTCTACCCCCGGACTCTAAATTATTGGGGTAAAAAAAAACAGCCTTGCAAGAAAAAAAGGGGAGCTATTTTTGCTTTTTATGTTTTTTATTGTTAAACTTGTATCCCTTTAAAAACTGAAGGAAAATTTTAAAAAAACACAAAAAAATACAAATCTAATGGTGCTTTTACCACAATATGTTAACTACATTAAATGCTAATTAATTATTTTCTTTTATCAAAGCACATAAAAATTAAGTCATGATATCTGTTAATTTTATAAGCTAAAAGTCACTTATAATGGATTATGCCAATTTTGAAAAAAAAAATTTGACGCGTTTCTGGCCACCTAGGGTGTATCAGTTCTTGGCCACTTCAGGTCCCAGAGAGCATCCAGAAGTTTGAAACACCTTGATGTCCTACATTTTCCTGGACAGACGACAGAGAGAAATGATAAAGATGCTGGTGTCCATTCTGATTGAGGGCACTTGTTGGGAAAAAAAAAAGGGAAAATAATTCGCACCCCCAAATGTCCTGTATCTTATGTACAAAAGTAAAACGAGGCAAAAAAAAATGCAGAAAAAATGAGAAGAAAATAGAGTGCAAGTGATTTTTTTCTACCAGACAGCGAAGCACCCAATGCTTCCCCAGGCGACTTTCAGAAGGTTTCCTAGACTATACATATATATACGTTCTGATTGGCGCATCTGGCTAATCAGAGAAAATCTGTGCATGTTCTAGTGTTAGTAACTAATTTTTATATAGTTAATGTAGGATAAAGTAGAGTACATTAAGACACAATATTGTAACCCTATTCCAGGCACTTATTGCCTTTAAACCTTGTTTGTTCAGCCCTTGAGAAGGGTTCCTACTACTGTCCTATACAATCAAGTATCTGAAATTCTTGGGAAGTCACTTTTGCTCATCTTTTCCCTGAAACAATGTTGGTTGTTTTATTTTTTTTTCCTCCTTGATTTGCACGAAACAAATGAAAAAAAATTCCATATCAATGTGCCTTGCCCTGGATAGCGATTATTTCTGAAATTGTTGCACACGATCCTCGAATCGAAAGGGTTTTTTTCCCTCGTCAAGCATTTGGAGACACTTTTTTTGTAAATGTGACTTTGACGTCCGCCATCGTCAGTTTCCACTTCTAGAACCTGAGTCATGTGTTAGTCGTTCCGCAGATAGGAGTAGTGTGTATTGTCTGGTGTGGTCAGTGGCAGTGCTATTCTGAGATCTGTAGATGCTAGAGAAAAAAAAAATCAGTATTTTGGGATGTTGCTGCATTGGACATTTTATTTCGGAGTCTTCCTTTATTTTGTTCTGTTTTATTTCCCAGATATATGAAAATATGCAATACCTGCTTATATCACGTAGAAATGCTTAGTGGTGATCGAGTTTTCTTTTGATTTTTTTTTATTTGACCAAAGTCAGTGCTGCACTTGACGCAGTGTGTTTTCGGTGTTTGTCTTTGTCCTTTTTTTTGCGAATTTTGAATGCACGGAGGCAGGAAGGGCTCCCTTTAGAGTAGCAGTCAAACTGTGAAGCACTAAGCTGACCCTGCTTCAAGCAATTTCTTTTTCTTTTTACAACTCTTCCTTTCACAAGCAAGCCTTAAAAAAAAATAGCGTTAAAAAAAACACAACAAAAAAACCAACCTTCCTTTTTCTTCAGATCCCCACACCCCATTTTTCTTAGCAGACCAGTTGATCCACATTCAATAAATATAATAATGCCCATTTTTATATGCACGTTTTTAAACTTCCGAGTTTGGAGAAAGAAAAATAAATAATTGTTTACTGGTTCTCTCTATTTAAGGAAAAAAATAAAACATTTTGGACTTTGATACGTGTCTGGTAAGTGGTCGGGTAGTTTGTTGGGTTTCGTTGTGTTGTGTGAGAGTCAGCGTACGGCATCATTTCCTGTAGCCAGCATTCTCCGCCTTCCCCCTAAGAGCACTTAGCAGGGCATTACTTTGTGATGACATTATGTGCACTATGAAAAATAAATAAATAAAGTTGCAGCTTACAGTGCTTCACAGTGAAGGGAAAAAAAAAAACAGCAAAAAGCCTAAACAGACATTTTGTCAGAACCTTTGCTTTAAGCCGAGGTGTTACCAGTGAAATTGGTCTGTACATACGATGAAATTGCACCCTTTTTTTTTTTAAATGAAAAAAGAAAAAGAACAAAAAAAAAAAAAGACGAATCCACCGAAGCAATAGTTGGGGCAGGTCCAGTGATTTGGGGTGAGCCGTTCAAGAGCGAGAAAGCGAGAGAGACTCCATTGCTCCCCCCCCCAGAAGATAATGTAATTTGTATGTTGTATAGTTTTATGGATTTGTTTGACCCTATTTTATAATGCAGGACTTTTGTAATGTTGTTTAAATGAGGAAAAAAAAATCTGTCCAATTAGCCTAGTGGAATTTCTGATTGTTTGTTATAAAGGCAGCGTTCATAGAATTTCTTTTTCTCTTTATTTTTAATTTTTTTTCATTGCTGTTGGGTGTCCCCCACCCCTCCTTTTTTTGGGAACTGGATTTAAGTTGAAAACTTTCCTGTTTCCTTTTTTTGTGTATGTATTTAAATACAGTTATTTTTCTTCTCTTGGTGATAAAGCATATTCCTATGCTTCAGAAGTGTAGGCTACTGGAGACCCATTGTAAATGGACATTACAGGTATGCTGTTTTATTTTATTTTTTTTTCTCTTGAAAATACTTTGTCATATTTGAGTTTGATGAAGCCGGAATTAGGGAACTCTGAACCCATTTGCAGAAACAAACAAACAAAAAACATTTTCAAGGCTTTGCAACATTAGGGAAGCAGGCTAGGGTCATAACTGAGAGGGGTTGTGGAGTGGTAATGAAAACACACTCAATGACACTTTTTTGTTCACTGTATCATCATCCAGAAAACGACAGTTGGGTTGTGACCAAACAGAAAACAAGGGAGAGAGGAAGTAGGGTCTGATTCCCCAGAATCATAGCCAAGAGTGGAGACTGGAGGAAGGCCTGGGAGTATGCAGTGCACAGGGATTTAGAGCTGGTGGTTTCCAGGAGACATGGTTGAGTCTTGGATTGGGAAACATGTGGAATTTCTCTTCCACACTCACCTGTCCATTCCAACTCTAAATCTACGATTCTAGAACACTATGCCATTTAGAAAAAATGTCCCCCAACTAACTTTTCCTGTTTCTTGTCTTCCTCTGGGATCTAAGCCAGAGGCACAAACACTAAAGTGCTCTAGCCTCTTTCATCCCAGTCCCTCACCAATCTCTAGGTTTTCTTCCCCACGATTATCGCTTGACACTGGCCCTTCTCCCTGTCCCTCAACTCCTGATCTTGAATGTTTCTCCTGCTTGAATTAAGTAAGCATTTGCTTGTCTCCTACCGCACACCCCAGCCATGCAGTTAGTAATTTATTGATTTCCTTTTCCATCAGCTCCAAGTTAGAGTTTAAGTAGACATGGTATGCTTTCCTCAGTCTCTGTTGGATTCCTTCCCAGAAGGTGAAAGGAGAGAAAGGGACCCCCCACCCCAAATAAAAGGTTCCTAGACTCACAGTATTCAGTCAGCCCACAGGAATATGCAAAAAAAAAAAAATCAAAAAAAGCAACCCTCTTAAAAATTCCTCCTTCACTTGGTTTTGTTTTGTTTGCCTCAGTATATTTTGCAGCTTTGTAGTAACAGTGTTATTAAATATTTACTGTACAAATCTGGATTTGTGGCCTAAAATCAACACCATCAAAACCCAGTTTTTCCTTGCAATTTGGTTCTGAACCACAAGGAACGTCAGTGAATACTGTACTTTGCATTGTGTCTCTGGAAATATCTTTTTGGTTTTTGTTAGCGGTGGTGGTTTCTTTCGTTACTTCTCGACTTTTTTTCTTCTCCTTCTTTATTTGAGTTCCTTTTAGTTTTTGGTCAAAGGCCTCCATAGAACAAATTGCAGAGAGAGCTGGCATGGTTGTGTGAGGAGAGCTTCAGTGGCACCTAAAACAAAAACAAAACCCCCAACAAACCAGTCCACTTTCCTTAGGAGATCTCTTGGTGGATATCTCAGGAAGCGGGACCCCTGCCCGCCAGCAGGGCTGTCATGAACATCAGCTTCCCAAGGCCCAGTTTTGTTCTGAAGTCAGTGCATGTACCTCCTGTTGGACAGTCCCGGGACTCTGCTTCCCTCCATCCGGTCCAAAGCTGTGCTCCCGTCTCATCGGCGTCTTGCATCCGTCCCTTTTTTTTCTTTTCGCCAGTTAAAAAATAAAAAATAAAAAAAAAAGGCAGTGGGATGAGAACGTCTTTGATCTATAGCAGGTAACATTGAAGCTGTTCCGTGGCACTTAACTGTAGTGAAGACTCTGTCGCCACTTCTGAGATCAATCTAACGTTTAATGCAAATCCATTACATGGTGCTATTACAGGCTGGCAAAATGATTTACGAAAAGAAAACAAACAAACAAACAAACAAAAAAAGCGCGTGACAACTTGGGCTCGTTTCAATCTGCTTTCCCACAATGTAAATGCATAGCAGTGATTTTCTGCATGAGAACTATGCACTAACCCTACCCGAAGAAAATATATCCCACGTTGGTATCTCTTTCCCTTCCGTTGACTCTGGTCCTTGCCTTTTTGGTCATTGTTATGATGCCAGCTTTAGGACAGAATGAATTATAAGAAAAACCAGCATAATACCTGATATATTAAAAAAAAAAATGTAGTGCCTGTGAAATCTGTATTATATTGCTCTTCTGAAGTAAGATTGTTTTCTACACCGGTAGCCTTTGCTGTCTGTCAGGACCTTCTGGTATAGGTGATGTAAAATAACCATACAATATAAATGCATGCTATTCCATAATGCTTAGAGAGCTGTATGAATATTACTCCAAGTTATGTTAGTCTTTTTTTCTGACTTGGTTCTTGTCAGATAGGTTTAAAGATATTTCACTGAGAACGCAAATTCTGTCTCTTTTCTTGATTTTGGGGTGTTTTCAGTATTTTTGGAGGTATACATTTACTTAAATTCAGTATTACTTGTGTGGTTTTTTCCTCTCTCTCTCTCTCTCTCTCTCTCTCTCTCTCTCTCTCTCTCTCTCTCTCTCTCTCTCTCTCTCTCTCTCTCTCTCTCTTTCTCTCTCTCTCTCTCTCTCTCTTCTTCCTAGAGGACAAGCATGGGTATTGAGTTCAGAAATCAGTGCCTGGCAAGATTTTTGTCTCAGAAAACCACCGCGTGACTCCCAAGAACTTTGTTTAGGAGAATACACATAAGCATTTTGATATAAGGGGATACTTCTCTGTGACCCCTTAACTGATGATGCTAATCTGGGAAGTGATTTCCTAATGGACAGTGTTTAACCAGGTACCCATGCTTGGCCCTTCTTCACACCAGACCTCTTCATATTAAAAAAAAAAAAAACTTTAAAAAAATTCA